ATCTGAGATGATGGCGAAACGTCGACTATCGAATAGTACACAACGGATGAACACCCGGAACAACAAAACATCATATTCTATTCTTCGTTGTTACCTTTTTGGTTATTTCTCCAACCCCTTCCTTGTTGAATCCGTTCAACTGGCGCCCCAGGGCTTACTTTTTTTCCATCTACTTCGACTGTAAAAAAAAAACATATTTTCCTTACCCACGTCCAGCCCCGACAATAATCGACTAGTCTGGGCCGAACTACCTTTTGGTGATTACATAAATACCAAGGTAGGTTATAACTTTAGTCTTCCGCAGTCGCGTGATGGGTACCTATAGAGGTTCCTGACACAAGGTGGAGGGCCGCGAGGCGTCCGAACCCTAATGCACTTGCTACCAGCATGTCCACCTTATAGTGCTATATTACCATCTACGACACCCTTATGGTATTGACGAGACACCGATGTTGCCCTACGCTCCATGGGATATTGAATCCGTTGTGGGGAACGAGAAGTGCCGAATTCATTGGAACTATTCGTTCCCCACCCTCAGTGTCATACAAGCTAATGAGCTTGATGTAGTCCTTCTCGACCACCAGAACAAGACTATATTTGTCGTGGAGTTTTCACCTCCTGGCGAGACGAATATCGTCCGAAAAGAGGAGGAGAAACGGGTAAAATATCGAGATTTTCTCTTCGAACTCCGCAGACTCTATCCAGATCACTCTGTCAAGATGGTGGTTCTGATTATTGGAGTCCTTGGTGGAATGATGCCCTCTTTACTCTCGAATCTTGAAATCATACCGGCTTGCCGCACTAAAGCAGAAATCTTAGCCGCACAGATGCAGAAAGCTGTGGTTCTTGGCTCACTGCGTTTGCTCAGGGCACATGATTCTCGGACCCAATGGTCACATACCCCACGGTGTGGAAATTGGTCGTTGGTTGATAATGCAGGGCGTGACCAATGCATACTTCGGTAAACATAATAATAATAATGTAGTTTTTGAAATTACTATGGATCGTCATCAAGTAACGGCTGAATCAATCAGAAAAATAATAATGGTGTTTATTGAGTGAATTAGGATATAACAACCAAGAGGCGAAGTTCAAAACTGCATTGTAGAACACTACAGGTTGGTTCTACAACTTTACCTCCTTAAATGAGATGAATGTTCAAATTTCGCTGGCTACGTACATTTGATTAGCGTCTCGAACCTATATTCAGAGTTACCTTGGGAGTCTCGTTTATGTACCTTTGGGATTGTTGCTTTGAGTCTCTTGTCGATCCAACAGATGGCGTTTTCGTAAGGAGATATCTCATTGCCTTCCCTTCTTCAGTGCTAAAAGTAAGCATATAACTTTGTCGTATGACAACCTGACTGTGTATTGATGAGGATCCTCTGCCAGCTACTCTTGTTTTCTTGATGTTTGCAAAAATAGAGTTGAATCTCTAGTAGAGATAATGTAAATATTTTCAAGAAAGTTACATCTTGTCAAATCTAATAAGAGACTTGAGAAATCCTTCTCTCTCTGTTCTCTCTCTCTCTCTCTCTCTCACTCTTACTGTCTTCTAACGAACGCACATCTAGTGGGAGGGACCATAATAAATACAGAAAGCTCTTCCTATATTTGACAAGCTGAACAATTTGATCTATAAGGAACGTTCTAGCACCTACAAGTGTTTTTGATTCAGTAAATTGTTCCATTCATTTCGAGTATTACTTTCAGTTTGATTCATACAATTGTTTTTGATTGTTTCTTGCTACATTTTTCAAAAAACTGAAGTATTATGTTCATACCTTTAGAAACATATACTTTTTATCGACTTTCTTTGGGGATTTTCACCTTTCACAATCTGAAAAATATTAAAATTGTATTAGAAGCGTAAAAAGGGCAAACTTTTTGATTCACCCCGGTGAATTTATATAAACTTGTGTCCCGTAATGCTTTCTTTCGGAAACACAAAGTGTTGAAATATATTTTTTTGTTCGTTTTTTAAGAATAACTTGTAAAAAATAAGTTATTTGCTGGAAATTTGGTGACCGGGTTTTTTTGACATGGAAAATCATAATTTCGTGTTAATTTTCATTTGAGAGCGCTACGCACGCTGTCATTATTTATTTCAGATTGCTCTAACTTTCTTGACACTGAACTTTTGACACTTTTCATGAAAAAAACCTGAAAAAACCACACTTCCTCAACAACGCTGGAGGTGATCGTTAACGAGATATTTACAATTTTCTATATCGATGCATATTACTTAGCTCCTAGGGCGCTAAGTGAATTTGCTTTTTCCTACAAAATGTTTATCAAAAAATCAATCGTTTTCGAGATAAAAATAACTGAAATCGCAAAAAACAAAAACCAACTATGTTTTGAAAAATTTCAACAATCTGTATCTTGAACAAGAATGATTTTTTAATAAACAATTTATATGAGAAAAAGTACCAAAAGTTTACTGTCAAAAAAGGGCAATTTGAAATAAATAATGACAACGTACGCAGCTCCCTCTAGCTACCACATGAAAATCAATACGAAATTTTGATTTCCCACGTCGAAAAAAAAACAGGGTTCCGAATTTCGTGCAAAAAACTTATTTTATGCACAAACGTTTTTTTTTAAGAAACGAACAACAAATTTTCAATTTCAACACCCTGTACCCCGAAACGAAGCATTTCCGGACCCAAGTTCATATAGACTTTTTTTCTTAAAGGTGTCTCAGGAATACGTCACTTGATTATATTAACGTACTTATGTTACACCCTGTATATAACTTCCGTTCGATATCTGAACATATTCTCATTCTGTTGATTCTGGTTTTCTTCAGGTTTATATCTTGAAGCAGCACTCATGGCACACGATTGTATGGGAAACACCCATTTATCAGTTGACGATGATTTTGTTTTGAGGGTGAAGGCAAGTGTAGACATTCCAAAAAATTCTCCAGTTCTTTTCAACTATGCGAATGCCTTACAAGTAAGTATTGTGACTGAACGAATGAGTGAAACTAAACAAAAAGTTTTTGGCAATATACCGGATGATCTGAAAAGTCCCCCTACCATAATGGGTGCGTCCAGATTGGCACATTCGAATGTAACCAAAAAATATCAACATTTTACATTTATTACTGGAGTTTTTCCCAACACCAAACCGTTATTTGAACACCTCAATAAGTGTATCGATCACAAAGTGATCATCTTCAAGAGGAAGATCAAACTTCCCCTTGAAGATGATCCAAACATGTGTCGAAGTGTTGAAATAACGGTTTGGTGTTGGGAAATAAACTCCAGTAATATTATTCATTACTACACCAAAGGTTCCAAACAGTGCATAACAAATTTCACATTTTCCGATCATATCTTTATTTTTCTCATAAGAGACAATAACTTCAATAACCTCTTCATATAGAGGTTCTCTCTAAAGTAACTCTCCGTTAATAGTACGCGTTATTCAACTAAATTTGATAATATTTCTTCCAGGGTTGTCTTTGGGCTTTCTTTGTGTACAGTCTGGTTCATTAGGTTTGCAACAAATGGGATTTTTTTATTAATTGCACATCAAAATTTGAATACTGCTAAAAGTTAGTGTATGTTCGAAATTTGAGGCACTTGAAGTGGCTTTACAAGTGAAAAAATATTAAATTTGTTCAAACAAAATCTTATGTGGAAGAGTTGTTCAGATTTGAAAGTTATACTTCGTGTTCAAAGTCATAGTCTCCTATTCCAACTGTTTATAATTTTTTGGAAACAATTTGGGTTATTTCCGTACAATATACAGTGCATTCCATTCAAAACGAGCCACTCTGAATAACTGAGAAAAACGAGTCAACAATAGTATACAGAGGGACACATTTTGACATATTCACATTTGATGTTAGTTGCCCCATCGCACCCCTCGATTATGTCACCAATTTTTTTTAAATGGATCACCCTATATTGTTTCGCATTATCAGATTCTCCATGATGAGCAGATTTCAACAAAGTATAAAATATATGGTCTGAAGCTTATGGTTCGGGAGCTACAAATTATTTGAGTTGAAAACGAGCCACCCTGAATAACTTTTGAAACAATGATTTGCAGGAAATTTTCGTTCTAGAGACAAATATAGAAACAATAAATCAGAAAAAGAGATTTTTTATTGATTCTTGAATCAAAATCCGATGACTGGACAATGAGGAGAAAAAAAATTCTACAGTAAATGTTCAAAAACGTCTCCACCAACTTCTATATAATGGTACAAACGAGCTTCCATTACCGCCCTCACATGGTTGAGAATCTCTGGAGTTATTTCTCTGCAATGCCTCATGATATTCTCTCTCAAATCTTCTAATGTTGTTGATTCTATCTCTTATACTTCAGATTTCAAATGGCTCCATAGAAAGAAATATACAGGAGTGAGATCAGGAGACCTTGGTGGCCATCCTGTAGGACCTCTTCTGTCAATCCAGCGACTAGGAAAATGATCATCCGAAAATTGTCGCACTGGAGCTGCATAATGAGGAGGTGCACCATCGTGCTGAAAGACTATTTCGTTTTCGAATAAATTTATATCCTCTTCAATTGCCCTATTGATGCACGGTATTATTCCATTCTCCAACATATCCAAATATTTATCACTAGTCAGATTATCATCGATGAAAAAAGGTCCTATGATGTGGTCACCTAAAATTCTTGACCAAGCATTCAATTTTTGAGATCGTTGGGTATGAACTTGACGGTATAAATGAGGATTCGTATCACTCCAATATCGACAATTTTGCCGATGGAGAGGTGATCCATTCAAACTAAAAGTAAATTCATCCGAAAAACGAATTTTATACAAGAAATGGATTCAAGTCGATCCGTTCAGTGAAACTTTTACAAAACTCGATACGTCTGTCGAAATCATTTTCGTTCAATTCATGAACTAGTTTAATCTTATATGGATGAAATTTGTACTTACGAAGGATCCTGAAAACATTTGTACGACTGATTCCTGATTCTCGAGATAACTTAGTAAGGGATTGCGAATTTTCCATTGGTCCAACGTGCCCTAAAACTGCAGTACAAATAGCTTCATCGTTGACAACTCCTGAACTGTTATGCTTTTTATTGTTAACAGATCCAGTTTCCATAGATTCGTTCAATAATTCCGAAACGTATTTGTGTCGTACATTTTTTCCTGGATGATTATCATTGAACATACGGGCGGCAGCTCTAGCACTATTTCCATTCTGGTAGTATAAACTCACTATTTCAATCCGTTCTCGAAACTTATAAACCATTGCTTCTCAAGAATTCACAAAAACAGAAACACCAATTGTAACTTTACCTGGTAGGTAATCGTTATTGAAGAATGAGACAAATACAAAATGAAGAGAATATCGAATTCAAACTCAAGTAGGCAAAATAAAAATTTTTGATGTAGGTATACGTCACAAAAACACTTAGAAACCTAGGTAACAGGTTGTACAGAAGTTTATTCAGAGTGGCTCGTTTTCAACTCAAATAATTTTTAGCTTCCAAACTATGAGCTTCAGACTATAATGTATTCTACTTTGTTGAAATCTGTTCATCTGATAATGCAAAACAATTGATCCATNGGTGGCTGATAATCGTAAGTAAAATCTGTGTCAGTAAAAATATTCGGCTGAATCGGAAAAATGCCAGTACATCTAAAACCTGATATTGCTTTGTCTATTGAGGCCACTCTAATGTATGCTTTATCAAAGATACTTGCAACATCATAAGATGTTATCTGGGATAAATTATTTGATCTCATGTATAGATCACATTCCATATAATAGGCCTTTTTCAGGGGTCCAAAGAACGTGACGTCCAACGGCTGCATTCGGTGAGATAAATGCGGCGGTAGTGAAAGCATAGTTATATGATTGTTCCTACAATAATTATAGGCTTCAAGTGTTGCGTGATTAGAATGATTGTCTAGCACTAGCAGAACTGGTTGATCTTGACTCGGTTTTGTGAATTTAACAAAATGCTTCAGCCATAACAGAAACATCTCATCGTTGGTCCAGCCATTGAATGTGACCTGATATTCTGCATCAGCGGGTCCGCCTTTAGCTCGTATTGGTGAAAATCGTTTTCTTGGAAACAAAAAGAAAGGTGGCACATATGACCCAACAGCACTCATGGCGCAAATTACGGTAATATTTTTGCCACGTTCCCAACTAGTTGTTGAACGTATTCTTTTTTGCCCTTTTTTTGCTAAAATGTTTCCTGGTTCTTGAACCGTTGTTATGTCGGTCTCATCCATATTATATATATTCAACTTTTGGAATTTATATTTGGACATAACTGCTTCAAGATTTTCAAAGAATCGTGTGACTTCTGTTTTGTTGAAACCTTTGATACGATTGATACACTAATGGTAGGATTTCGTTTCAAAAACCCTTCTAACCAGTCTCTTCCAGCTAGCTGCTTCTGGGTATTGAATCGATGCTTTATCTTAAGATTTTCTGCGCATCTATAGGCAAGGCGACAAAATTGCCATCTAGATAAACCATAGAACATGTTAGAGAGCTTAATTGGATGGGCAGCCATTTCTTAGGACGTGTACCTAATTGCGCCGAATACTGCAAGTTGCCCTTCTTTAATCTTCTCTAGAAGGTTTGGTAGGGGATATTACATTGAAGAGCTGCTTTTCTTATACCCATTCCATTAGCCACCACGTCCACTCTTCCACGTCCACTCTTCCACGTCCTGGGCATCTGAAATAAACATTAGGCTAATGGGGTAATGGGAGCCATTGTGGCTCCTATTACCCCAAGGTGCATTTTTCATTTAAAATGTTTAAAATCAAAAACAGCATAATTTAACAGAAAATCAGATGAGATGCAATGAAATTACATACTTTTACGAACCTATAGTGATAAAATAATATGGATTAGACAAAAACCAATAATACTTACCGCGCCAATAACTTGCACGAATCTCTGGAACAAGATTTCACAATTTCACTCCTCTCCGGTCAACAGTTTAAAACACAGACCATATACCCTAGACGGTTCACGTAGGTTACTTAACCTTGAATCCCTTTTTTAGTACCGATGCAAATCTTAAGATGGCACTGTAAATTTGTTCTTTGGTTTTATGTCACAGACCCACATATATTCTTGTGGTTTGTGATGTATGTCAAAAATAAGAAGAAGAAGAACATGTAAGAATTTGTCTAGAATTGATCCGCTATAGTAGAATTTACTCAGATTTGTATTTTTATACGTAACCGTCATCTTTGGACGCCCCAGCACATCAACAACCGATGAAAATGTTGAGCAGTGATGAAAATTGTTATGGAGAATCGTCGAATCACTTTTGGAGAAGTTGCAGAGGATGTCGGCATATCGGTTGGCTCAAGCCATTCAATTTTTTCGTAGATTTTGGGCATGAAGCATACGGCAGCGAAATTCGTTCCAAAATTGCTGAATTCTGACAAAAAAAACCGTCGAATGAGTATCGCCCAGGAATTGTTGAATGACGTCAACGGCGATCCACATTTGCTTAAAAGGGTTATAATTGGTGATGAATCATGGGTATATGGTTATGAATGAAGAGCCCACGAGAGCCAGGACCAAAATAGTACGCCAAGTTCGATCAATTGTCAAGGTTTCCTTTGATTACCGTGGCTTAGTGCACCAGGAGTTTTTGCCACATAGTTGTACAGTCAATCTGGCCGACATTTACCAGAACCTACTGTATAGGTTCTGTTTTTTCACCTGGATTCTTTAATAGTTTTATTTAATACAGTTCCATGATTTTATATTGAAATTATCCGTTATTATTGGGTATCTACTCGTATACGAGATGAATTTTAATTTTTTTCAAAAAATATTCATTTATTCATCATTTTCTATTTTGTCCCCATCAAAGTAGCCCTCCTCAGATATAATACAGTTATGCCAAATATTTTCCAAACAGTTCTGATATGCACTTTTTGGTATGTCCTTGAGCTCTTTCAGCGCCACAAAACGCCATCCTTTCATGGGTCTCCTCAATCTTGGGAGTAGGAAAAAGTCGCAGGGGGACAAACTTGGTGAAAACGTTGGCTGAGGCATGCTTACGGTATTGTTTTTAGCCTAAAAATTACGAACGAGCAATGACGAGTGCACTATCGTGATGCAAAAGCCATGAATTGTTTTTCCACAGGACGTCCAGGGCGAGCGTCGTTGTTCACATATTCTCGATCTTTTGTAAAAGCTTGTATCTCTTGAAAACATTTTTATGACTCAGAGTACAATCATCGTATGCCACTGTTAACATTTCAAGTGTTTGTGAGCACTCAATTCCATTTTTTTTTTACAAAAGTTTATGCAAATTCTTGGATCCATTTTTTTCGATAGCAGAAAATCACCGAACACGCAAAACACTTCTGACTTTTATGCCTCCCACCAACATGCTGAACATGATAAAATGTACACGAAAACCATGATTGGAAATAACTTCTATATTTGAAATCAGTACACAAAATCTAAAATCGGTATACAAAATCGAAAATTATGATTTTATACATAACTTGATAATATACAGTTATGAAAATCAAAAAATGTAGCAAACTTGATTGAAGTGTTTATTAGAACAATTCATAGTATATTAGTTTATACATAAGAAAGAAGGTTCATTTCAAATTTTATTCAATTTATTCTACAATCCTCAATCTGTTCAACTGCTATTTATTATCAAAAAACCTATTTCTTATTGGCCAACACAAATGTCGGCTCCGGTAAAATAATTTGATCATTTGTCAATATTTAATATAATATTTATTACAGCTGCCGGACTGAGTCATAGCCGGTGAGGAGCCCCTCCCTCAAAATATGCAGTAGATGTGTAGAAATCTGTTATCAGTCTGTTACTTCATTAGAGCTGTGAACATCCAAATACGTAAAATTTCAAAAAGTTTCTACTCCTTTTTTCCTAATACTTTCTTTGTCATACACCGACCTAAACTTTACGCAAATACGATTTCTCCCACCGGCCAAGACTCAGTCTGGTAGCTGTACTATTATGCACAATGCGCTCGTCTTCACTCACTCACTCACACACACATGTATGCATCCTACTTACAGAACTCTTCCTAATATTGCTACTCAATTCAAGCATTATGGAAAACCATAGTTCTCTCAGAATATTGTTTTTTGGAACACTGAAAAAACGTTTTGTCTGGTATGGATGATCTGTTTCTACAACTACCTATAAAACATATTATAACCATTTTGGTTGTACTAATGGTAAAATTCAATTGGAAAATAACCTGAAAAAATATGTTTTGGAATGCAAACTAATGGCACGGAATATACAGCAGAATAGACACCCGTTTTTTTTAATCAGATAATTGTAACAAACAAATCGGATTATAACAGTTGTATTCACACCGAGTTGACAACAATCACAACAAAAATTGCGTGTGTCAAATTGGATCACTATATTTTAATTCTGTGATTGGATATTAAAAACCAATACACTTGGCAACACCGCTGCAGACACGATCAATTTTATTGGTTAACAAACACGTGGCCAATTTAAACTCGTGCTTATCGAATTGTTCTCTTTTCTGTAAATATAAAGAGATCTTGGAACAGATTAGGCTTCATAAGTATAATTTATCCCTAACTCGTTCAGTTTACAAACAAACCAGTATCATTTTCAGCAGCATGAAACAAGCCTATTGTAATGGTAGGAGGGTTTTCTTCGTGTACTTAAATAGTATAAAATGTATTGAATACGAGTAGACGCACAGAGTTTTTATAGAATTTATCAGTTACTTTTACACTTAAACTACAGCTGTAAAATTCTAATGAAAAATAAGAATTCACGAGTTTCCTAAAAATCACAGTCTTGCCCAATTTACAATTTTTTTTTCTATTTTCACTTCCAAGGGTAGCCTGGATAGAAAGCAACATTTACGAGAAGGAAAATATTTCGAATGCTCTTGTAACAGATGCAATGATCCTACCGAACTCAACACTGAACTCAGTTCTTTGAAATGTCATGCTTGCAGAAAAGGGCTTATTAGAATGATGGAAACTACAAATCTAGAGTCAGATTGGCAATGTTCAGTGTGTGGAAAGACATTCAAACATTATTTGATAGCCAGAACTGTGGAAGAAGGACGAATGAGAATAAAATGCTGTTAATCTCCATTTTTTAATTTCTCGTGATTTATATCGAAATTTTACAACCAATACATATGGAGTGTTATTGCATTGAATTTTGATGTTCAATTACAATTATGAATAGTACTGATTTTGTAGAATGTTTGTCGAAGAGTTGAAACGAAATATTTTCCGAATAATTTGATGGGAATCTAAAAGGTTTTTTGAAAATTATTTTCATTGCATACTTATGAATAGACTTGACAGACTTTGTTGAATTTTAATATGCATCACCCCAGGCTATGCTTCCATAGGTTATATTATTGGAAAATAGTGCATGATGAAACATTAATAAAGTTTCATCTCAGCTCAGAAGTCTGAACTCATAAAGACATTTTCCTAATATTATTGTAAATTCAAGTGAATGTTTTTTCGATTTCAGTAAAAATGCTTTCGAAACTATTTTTATATGAACATTGAATTAGTTGTACTCCACACTTCTGTTATGTAATTGAATTAGATATCATTCACAGGATTGCTACACAATATAGTATATGGAAGAGGTAAAATTTTACTTACATTATGAATGGATTGGATGTTTCATCTTGTAGGTCATATTTCACCTCTTTCATATACTATATTGTGTAGCAATCTTGTGAATGATATCTAATTCAATTCCATAAGGAATGTTTGGAGTACAAACTGAATAGAGAAAGTGTTTTTTATAATTCATTTTTCGAAAAAATGTAGTTGTTTCGAAAATATTTTTGTCCTCGTTTAATTCAATGTTTATATGAAAGTAGTTGTTTCGAGATGATTTTTTTCTTCCAGTTTGTGTCTGAAAAGTTACTTCGTTGAATGATCCACACATCTTTAGGAAACGTTCATTTTAAACCAGTTGCTTTTTTCCTTTCTTTGGAAGATTTCCACATTTTCTTTTGTATAAATATAGATAAGTACAAAGCCAAAAAATTTCTTTCCCAAAATTAATCTCTCCTAAAAATATACCACTTTCAATTCAAATTCGGTCTTTACTTTAGATTATACCTGTCTTATTCAGTTCAAATTCATAATGAACAACAAGTAATTTATCACATGTAAACAGCATATCTCAACAATATTTTTATTTTTGTTTTGTTTCTGATTTCTTTTTTTTTTTGGTATTTGATTTATTCAATGTAAATTTATCATCAACAATGAAGTAATTTTTCAGATGAAAGCAGTATATCTTAACGCTGTTTTTTTCTGTTTTGTTTCTGATTTCTTTTCTTTTGATTTTTGTTTTCTTGTTAGAGGTAGTAGGTCGCATTCTTCAATGTTTCATACAGAAAACACAAACATATACTTGTGAGAGCAGCTCAGGTGGGAATACCGTTCTCTATGATTTTTTCAGACCAAACTGACATAACTGGTATGGAACACCTTCTGAATAAATTACTTCAAACTTTCCATGAAAACCATTTTCTGATTCTGGAATTGGAACAAAATATGATAGGAGTATACACCCAGCTAGCTCCAAAACCGGAAAATCTCAGTAGAAAAATTGAGCTTTGCCAGCGCCTTTTTGATGTTTCTTCGATTATTGAACCGGGGATCTCAAGAACAAAAGGTCAGTTTTTAGAATAATATCAAATTCACGATGAATTTTCGACTTTCTACTTACTTCTTGAGCTCCTATTTATTTATTATTTGACTATTTATCGATAGAGTTACTTTTTATATAATGTAATTATTCTTAGTGATCATAAAGAATGCATGAGAAGTGAATTTTAGGCGTACCACTACAAAAAAACTTGAAACATCGAAATTTACTTTGCAATAACATTTTCAAATGATTAAAATATCCCGTAGTTGAATTTATCTTCCTAATTAAATCGATTCAAAAAATCTGTTTTTCCGTTAACCAGCTGTCCCACCCCTACGAACGACAACCCTCAGCAGTCGAAACTTGTGCGAGCTAAGGATTAACGAGGTCTTACCTTTCAACGTGTGATTCCTAACACGGTAAAATACGTAAAATATGTTTCATAGAGTTGTTTTTCATAAAATGAAAATTACAAAAGTTATACGTTTTACATATCGCCACAATAATTTTTTTTTCCTTCAGTAATGGATTTTACTGAGTTACCTTGATACTACGATTTGAATACTAGTAATGTGGAATCAGATGTGCAACCCTTTCGATTTCAAACATCTTCAACTATGGGGATGTTTTAGTATTTCACATGGCCTTTTCCAGGGATCCGTACTGGGTGCTTTGTTATTCGTAATTCATATCAATGATCTATTTGGTCTCATGAAAAATATGAATTTTTACTATTTCTGCTAGTGACAAAACGTTATAAATGATGTTTTTTAGCGGATCCCACTATAGCTATCCCGTGTACGGTAAGCAGTAAAATGTAGTTGAATTATAACAAATCTTCCAACGGAGACTTTCGAACTTCGACAATTGATAACGCCATCTTGTTGAAGCTACATCTGTCAAATTAGTTGTCATTTATTCAGTCTGTTTTGCCAAATTACCATGGATGAATATATTCAACAACATGTGTAAATAATAAAATAGTTTCATCAAAATGGATATGATAGCATCAAATACTCTGAGAAAATGTCGGTATTTCCAACATGATGAAGCTCCGCCACGTCGCAGAACTATTTGCAAAGATTTTCTCGATACGCCTATTCGAGGACGATGGACAGGAAACAAAAGTCCTACTAAATGGCCACCACTTTCACCTGACCCAACCCTACTGGACTTTACATTGTGGGGCTTCATTGAACACAAGATATTCGGTAAAACTTTTGGAAATATTGACGAATTGAAAGAAATGAGAAGAAAAAGCTTCGCATGTCTATAACTCCACAAATACTGGCAAATTATTGACATAAAAATACTATTGCAAGAGCCAATATGTGTTTAAGGAACGATGGACGGCAATTTGAAAATTCAGTGAGATATTGTGAACGATGTAGACGGTTAAGAGTATTTTGACATTAATGTTTTTCTGTTTATTACTTGGTTCTTACATTTTATTCCGATATGTTGAGTTCATGTATAGCTTTGAGATCTAGAACCAAAAAATATGCTCCCTAATTTTTTTAGGTAGCTTTGACCGGAAATTGTATGATCACACAGTGATGATGAGAAAAACTTCGGGAAACACATGTATTGCAATTCAGGAATATTTGAAGCCACATGTTGTAATTGGAATCCATAACAGTATTTCCAACTTTTGAAATATCTTGAATAAATACGACAGTGAGACTTGAAAGATCAACTAAAAAATATTAATTCAAGTTTGAGCAGTAAATTGAAATCTTTAGTTTTGGATTTCTTTTGTTCTGATTCTACGAACAATATTGAAAGTTTAGTAGTCTCAGCATCACATGTGCATTTTTAACAACGAAACTCTCAGAACAAAAAAACACTTTTGAGCACCTAGATTTCAGCCTAGAGTGAGGCAAATATAATTCAATTTATGTTAAGTAGTGGCGATTATCTTAATTCACTGTTCAATAATTTCATGCATTCTTTCTTCTGTCAATTTTTTTTCTACAGCTTGCCAAATCTAGGAAACGACTTGTAACGTATCACTACCTGCGTACACTACTGACAGAGAACGTATCAGGATAGAAATGGATGAAATCTACCGTGCGACTTGGTGCGCCTATTTGGGTTTTCAAGTAGCCTTAGAGTACAGTCCACGCCGCAAGTAGCAATACGAGTTGATGGTTTTTTTACGTAATTGAATTTAAATGAGTTTGTTTTTCAGCAGTCTGTATTGCATTCAATTTGGGGTTCATTAGGGAAAAGTAGAAAGTCTTATTTTCAAAATGTAATTAATTTGGGTTGAAGATTAAATTTCAAAATGAAAATTTTTTGGGAAACTTTATATTTATTAAGATGAATGAATACAAACAAAAATTTAATTGAAGTTATGCTCAAAAAATTACATAGGTTCAACTCCAGACAGATCGGAATTCGTCAACGGATTTTTTATGTATGCGGCGGAAGGTGAGAATTTTTCTCAGTAATGTAATAATTTATTATATATCGACGAAAAAGGTTCTTGTCGAAACCATCAAAACTAGATTTTGATGCTTTTCTATGTATTTTTTCATTAAGCGTTGAAAAAAAAGATAACTCACCATTTTCGAATGTTTTTATTTCACGAGCCATTATTTGAATTTGAAGTCGCTTCCTACATTTGACAAGCTGCACTTTAGACATTTTTGAGTTTTATATTGAAATGAATTCATTTATTGTTGCAGCTATTTCATTATACCAACTCCAATCAGCTATGGTGGATCTAGCTCATAAACAATATCAAAACAGATCCATCGACATACATGCCCTTGTAGCTATGCTCGATGAGTCCGAAACCAATCTGAAGGAAGCAATCAAATATTTCCTTTACGAGCCATTGAAAAGTCCTGAAGGCAGGCTTGCCCAAATTGCTTTATCAGAAATGAAAATGTTGCGTATATCTCTAGGAAATATTAAGAAGGACCTTTTGAGTGGAGTACTGGTTGACAAACAAGGATCAACTATCAGAAGAAATAATGGATCGATACAAAATGCTGTTGAAAGGGAAAAAGTCGTGGGTTTTGATACTATTGACGATGTGGAATGTACTAAATTAGACTCGCTCAGTTTGAAGAAATCTACAAAAAATCAAAGAAGTAGAAGAAATAGAAAGAAATTTTTATGAATATGATGTACTGAAATGTGAATAGTGGTAGTTGAATTCAACTAATAGAATAATGGTGTCTATTGTTTCCATTGGAAAAATAGAATTTTATACGAATACATCCATTGTCTGTTTCACTTTAATCCGAAATCCGAACAACCTCTTTTATACGTTATATGTAAAGTCGTACCCAAAAACAGTATTTTCCCCAACATTTGCGACTGAGAACGATGTAGGTACTTGCTGATGAAACAAATTCATTCATTTCGTATATTCACAGTTCATTGCGATCAGAAATTATTAGCATTTGGAAAAGAATATTGTATTTTATCCAAATCGAAAATGTTGAACACAATTTTGTACATTACCAATGTGTCATTTTTTATATCTGTAGAACACTAAAAAATATATCAAAAATTTTTGGGATAGAAAGTTTTTGGCTTTCTACTACTTTCATTCTTACATTTTTTTGTATCAAGATAGAGTAGTAGTATTTCCCGAAAATGAATCATTCCCAAAAAATAACCCATTCAATATAAACAAGATTCCTTCTGGCTGGGATTTAGTCAAATAAGTGAATGAATAAATATCATTACCATGTCATCGATGACATGAGTAGATCAAACTTATTCCATGACATAAAAAATCGTAATTTATGAATGAATTGTGTGGTTTTTTCTTATGATATTACCCAGATTGGTACGGAAGAGCCATAAGGCAAGTGTCTTATGGCGAAACATCGATGTCTACCAGGGAGGATGACAGTGTTCCATGTAAGTGCAATTTGTTCCCATTCATTTAAAGTAGAACTCATGTGAATGATATCTGATTTTTATTCCACAACGGATGTTTGGAATACAAACTGAGTAGAGAAAAGTATCTTCTGTATAATTCAGTGTTCATATAAAAGCATTTGTTTCGAAAGATTTTCTTTTTTTTCGTGTAATTCAACGTTTATATGAAAGTAGATGTTTCAGGAGGGCTTTCTTCCAGTTTGTGTCTGAAAGTTACTTCTTTGCATGATCTACGCATCCATGTATAGAGTTACTTATTTTCAAATTGATTACTTTTTTCCTTTCTTTGGAATATTCCCACATTTTTTGTATCAAGATGGAGTAGTAGAAAGCTAAAAACTCTCTTTCCCAAAAATTAATCACTCCTAAAAGTATAACCCCTTCAATTCAAATGAGATTCCTCTTGGCTGGGATTTAATCAAGTAGGTGAATGAATGTCGCTACGATGTCAATATTTCATGTATATTCCATTTGCGAAAGCGAATACTGCATATTTTGCTCCCAGTTACATTGTGCTCCGAATTTTTAATAAACTCCCAGAAATCATAAAACATCATAAAAATGTGGGACAAATCAAAAAAGATTCGAAACATTTTTATTGGAGAAATGTTTTTTTTTATTGAAAATTAATGTATGTGACTATCTTATCGTACATTTAATGTTTTTTTTAAATATTTTTGATAACCCTCAGAATTAGGCTTGAAAATTCCCATACATGTAACTGTCAATGAATATCGATGTTTCGGAATGAGACACTTGCCTTATTGCCTCTTCAGCACCAATTTTGGTAACATTACAAGACGAAGCATTCAATGTACATTCATAAAAATACGACTTTATTTCAGTCATAAAAATCTTGTTTAGATTGAAAGGAAATATTAATTTTTGGGCAAGAAGGGTTTTGGCTTTCTACTTCACAATCTCCATACAGAAAAGTGGAAATCATCCATACATTTGTAATGGAATTGAATCAGATATAATTCACAGGATTGTCACACAATATAATATTTGAAAAAGGCAAAATTTCGTTCGTGTAATTCAATATTTATATGAAAGTAGTTGTTTCGAGAGGACTTTTTTTTCCAGTTTTGTGTCTGCCTTTGCAGTTCATCTTGAAATGTTTTGCTCTCTCCTTTTTTTTGGAAGATTCCCTGATTTTTTCGTAAATAGATGGAAAAGTAGAAAGCCAAAACCTGTCTTTCCCAAAAATACCATTCTTCCAATTATAAAATTTGAATAGCATTACTGTCAACGAATTCAGAGCATACAGTTTGTACAAACTGTATGCTCTGAATTCTCAATTCAAAACAAGAATGATCTTGTTTTGAATTGAGAATTCGGTTGTCAACATTGAGAGGTATGTTTCATTTTTCAGATTATCAGATTATAATTAATGTCGCATCAAAGTTCAGCATGACTATCGTCTACAAAAAGAAAATGATCAGATTTTAAGGTAAGAAAGGTTTTGGCTTCCTACTTCTCCATCCCCATACAAAAAAATGTGGCAATCATCCAAAATATGAAATTGAATCAGATATCATTTACAGGATGGTTACAGAATATAGTATATGAAAGAGGAAAAAATTGAATAGGAAAGTCAGAAGCATATGCTAGGAGGGACCCCAAAACAGAACCTTGCGGGACACCAGCTAGATTTTTTTTTCTGATTTTCCAAAATGCGGTTAATCTCCGGTGAAGCTGTGTTCTAATTTGAAAGGTAATTTGTTCATTGGTACCTTGTCGAATGCTCTGTATTCAAGCTACAGAGCAAGTCGGCAGTTGTTGATTTTCGAAGCACAACAAATTTTGGAGTGGATTTGAATCAGAGAATTGGTTCATCGTGGTAAATCCATGGGAGTTCTGCTGAGTTGTCACTTGGAGCTGAATATTTTTTGAAGCTTTTGGCTAGCTTCAGGAGTAACATAATTTTTTGTGTGAGCGATGAATGAATGAATTCTCAATCAATGGTTTTTTCTATTGACTATATAACATATTTCAAACGAATAATTATTTGTCAAATCTAGTGGAGATTTACTGAATTACTTTTACTTGGAGTTGACATCCGGAAATTCAGACTGTTTATCCTAGCTGAACTTGATAAATAATGTATCTAGGTCTTTGCTTTCGATATTAGATGTGTTGCAAGGTTTTTAATCAATTTGAACGTATTATTGGTTCAGTCTAGCACCATTGATGAAATCTATGGCGGGGGGGAAAAGCGCTGTCTGATGTTTGTATCAAGTCTATAAATACCACAAAAAGGTTTCCATCAGTCCTTGGGAATGGTGGAAGAGTACACGCATGCTATCGGTATGAAATTAGGGATAGACAGATGTGCAACGGTCTATCTCAAAAGAGGACGTTGCGGGAACTACGGAGAGGATGTATACTTACTTCGGAACAATGCGACTCACAAAAAGTAACAGCACTGAGGAACTCCGCGGCGAGTATCACTACAAACTCCGACAGATCTGGCCATCGGAACTGTCGAGAAATAACAAAGTTACTGCAACGAATATGCTTACCGTTTGCATCTCAAATCGCCCGTTCCCCGACTGTACTTTCCCCGACAACAGGGAGCCCCGTGAACTCTTGCATAGAGCCTGTGAAGTCGTCAAGAGTTCGGATCTCCTTCTCTCCATGGTTCGCAACCATGACAGCAGGCATTGGAGCATATCTCTTTTGAGGCCGGAGCAGCTGGTGAATTCGGTTCAGTTTTTGATACTGAACGAGTTGATCACAACTCTGTTACCGAGTTGGAACCCGTTCAGCAAAAGCCCCAATTGAAACTCGAAGAGATCACTCGACTCCTGCGGCAACACAAGGATAAGCCGATGTATGGGGTCTTCTTCATCAACATTGATGACCTTGGCTCATCAAAGTGCCTGACCTTCACTTTCCTTAGGTAGAGTGTGCTGAAGTGGGAAAATGAGGGATTCATCATGGTCTGCCAGAATGGTGTATTCAACACCTTATTCTACTTCAATCGCGTGAAGGATATATTGATTCCTAAGATAAGGCGTAGGGCCTACCGCAAGGCGTTTGAGACCCTAATACACTTGCTGTCAGCATGTTCAGCATATGCGGTCTCAGCCTATATACATCGACTGTAGGTACTTATAGACGCTCTTTAATGACCGTGGTGTATAGATATATAAGGGTGTACATTGTAAATTAATTCAGTTTATTGTATTCGTTCAGAAAGGTCCTTGTAGGAAGATATTGCACTAACGTTAGTTACACATACAAGTGGTATGAAAACATAGGTATCATGGCGTTTGTATCACGATAATACACTTGCTGACTCGTCAATGATTTTTTGGTAAAAACAACACCGCAATCATGCCTCAGCCACCGTATCCACCAGATTTGGCACTCTGCAACTTTTTCCTGTTCCAAGATTGATAAGACCCACAAAAGGACGACGTTTTCGTCGATAGAGGAGATAAATACCGAATAGCTGAGAGAGCTCATAGACATACCAAAAAGTGTATATGAGAATTGCTTCAAGGATAGAAAAAAACGCTGGCACAAATGTATTATATATCTGAAGAGAACTAGTTTGAAGGGGACAAAATAGAAATTGATGTATGGATAACGTTACCATACGTCCCGGTTTGGGCGGGACAGTCCCGGTTTCACGCAGTCTGTCCCGGTGTCCCCAGCGAAGTCAACATAGTCCCGGTTTTGCAAGCAGACCCAACGATAGTCTGAAATTTATTTTTTCTAATTTAGCCTAAACGCAAGCGCTCTTTCAATATTAGTTTTCAACAGAAATATCCATTTATAAAACAAAGAAAAGATGGTACCGCAGACGTTACGTGTGAAAAGTGTCGTACTGATTTTAGTGTTGGACATG